AAAGCAAACCAACGGCGCTAGAGGTTTTGGCCACACGAATGGCTTCGCTGCCCCACTTTGCGCCGCCGGGATGTTCTGAGGCATAACATCTAGTAGGAAGTAAAGCCGTTGGTCCCCGGTTCATTAGTTGATGGGTCGATATGTAGGGTACAGGTGTGGGAGCTGCCTCCCTGTTGTCGGTAGCATTGATGTTCAGCACGGAAAACAAGATCGACGAAAAAAAAGCGAAGATACATAACCTTCAAAATCCGTTTAATTGAACTCCGTCCCAAAATCGAACGGCTTTGTGGTTTTGTTGCCAAAATCGAGCCATGCCAAAGTCGAACGGGTACTGTACTCACATTTTTTTTTTTCTCTTTAGAAAAATGCAATGATGCACAAATCAATTCTTGCTTTAAGTTGACTCCTTCTTTATACTATAAGTTGTTCTTTAACGGATAAATGCTTTAAAAAATTCTATTATAATATATGTACTCATAAATTATGTTGCTCTTGGAGTTAACTCCTTCTTTTGATCTTAAGCTGATAAAAGTTTTTGAAAATTCCATCTGAAAATTCTCAAAAGTAACATCTTTCTTCCATTTCACTCCTTCTTTACAGCATCAGCTATTTTTGACAAATTTTTTTTTATGAAATATTCAATTGAAATATTCACAAATTAGTTTTCTCTTTAAGTTGGCTCCTTCTTTACAGCTTGAGCTGTTCTTTGATAGATAGATATTTGTTTATGAACATTTCAATTGAAATACTCACAAATAATTTTTCTCTTGGAGTTGACTCCTTGTTTACAACATTAGCTGCTCTTTGACAGATAAAATAGTTTGAAAAACTCCATTGAGATGATCACAAATTATTTCTCTCTTGGAGTTGACTTCTTCTTTGTATCATGAGCTGTTCTTTAACAGACAAAATCCCATCTGAAATTTCTCAAAAGTTACATCTCTCTTGGAGTTGATTCTTTCTTTACAGCATGACCTGTTATTTGAAAGCTTTCTTCTATGGAAAATTCAATTGAAATATTCACAAATTAGTTTACTCGTTAAGTTGACTCCTTCTTTACAGCATGAACTGTTCTTTGACAAATAAAATAGTTTGAAAACTCTAATTGAAAATTCTCAAAAAGTAACAGCTCTCTTGTAGATGACTGCTTCTTTACAGCATAAGCTGTTCTTTTATTTTTTTATGAAACATTCAATTGAAATATGCACGTTCATCCGACAGCAAACATGTAGGGGAAATGGCTCTAATGTTGACCTATGGATCTAAGATTGGGCCTATCGCTAAAAATCTGCTATTTATCAATTTTATCTAGATGATGTATGGGCCCAAACTAGGGGCATTTAAGGCTTGTATTCGAAAAAAATGCACCATTTGTGTAACATTTTTTGGGTAAAAATTGATGAAAATCTGGGTATAACTAGTTTGCAGTGAATTGTTTACATGTGCAAAATTTCATAACAATTGGTTCAGTGATTATTGAGATGTCATCGAAACAAGAAGAAAATCGCCGGAGAATTTTGCGCGCCGTCATGGAAAATCCGACTGCGACCATGAGATGGATCGGAAGACAACTGGGAATCACCCATACAACTGTATCTCGGGTGGTAAAATCGTTTAAGGAGTCCCAGACGACCGAGCGGCGGGCTGGAAGTGGAAGAAAATCGAAGACAGCTGACCCTGTGAAGACCCGGAAGGTGTTGGATTATTTCAAGCGTAATCCGAACCTTTCGATTCGCGACGCGGCTCTGAAGGCAAAGTGTTCCGCCTGGTTCGTTCAGCAAACCATGAAACGAGCTGAGCTTCGTGTATTCAAGGTTCGGAAGGCACCGAACCGGCGTGACCAACAAAACACGGCGCAAGGAAGCTATATCGAGAGTGGTTAACGAAACCGATGTGTGTGGTTATGGATGACGAAACCTACATCAAGGCAGACGCAAAGCAGATACCAGGGCTGGAGTTCGACGTTGCCAAATCATGGTTTGATGTTCCGGAAGACATAAGGAAGAAGAAAGTGGACAAATTCGCAAAAAAATTCTTGCTCTGGCAGGCAATATGCCAATGCAGTAAACTGAGGAAACCGTACATCACACTGGGTACCATCAACAGCGAAATTTACCGCACCGAGTGCCTCCAGAAGTGTCTGTTGCCCTTCCTGCGGTCCCACGGAGGCGAGACATTATTATTTCAGCCAGACCTGGCATCATGCCATTACGCGCGATCGACGTTGAAGGCCAAAGTTCGAAAATCGTCCAAGGTGTTTAAGAACGAGCTGGAGTTGAAGAAATAATGGATGAAAGTGACCAAAAAGGTCGGCTCCACCATTGCACAAAATTTAATGAGGGGTCTTAAGAGAAAGGTGCGGGCTTTCAGCGATAGAAAGGAAATTGAATAAAGTAATTATGCCGAAACATAATCCATATGTATTAGTTCATTCCCTGAAAGTTTCAAGAAAATCCGACTTAAAATAAATTTTTGGCGAACACTTTTGTCTGGTGCATTTTTCCGGAGAACAGGCCTTAGGCCGACATTACATCCATTTCCCCTATGTGAAAAATGCTAGTTAATTTGATTATAAGTGTTGGCGTGTCAACGCCAGCGCGCCGCTACTGTGATCAGACAGCAGCTCAGTTTCGACTATTGCGCATGACGTCGCGATGCGCAATAGGCGTGACAGATATTCGCAGCGATGACAGGTTTGGTACTCAGGTATTGGTGAGTAGAATAGAGGAATGATTTGGCAGAAGAGATGATTCAGCACAAACATGGGAGAGTGGGAGAGGAATTGGACTGATAACAGGATTGATAGGAGAATGAGTAAACAAATAATCTAGACAAAAAATTAGAAGGCAAGTGAAAGAACACAGATTGCAGAAAGTAATTACTAAATTAACTACTGAAACAATATCCTAAATATCTAAATTCCTTAGTGCTTATTTCTAAAATTATCAGGTAATTGGCTTAATGATAAAATCAAGTGAAATTTACTTAATCTAATATGTTTTTGGACAGGAGAGCATATGATAAATGAATTGTATATTTCCAACCTAAAACTAATATTCTTAAAACTACATTGTTTAAGGTAATTGAATACCGCTGAACTTATACAACTATTTACAACTAAATTTATTATAGTACGGTGAATTAGTACGGCAAAGAAGAGGTATAGACATACCACCAGGCAAACGAAACACATAGTACGGGACTAAACGTAAGTTTATGCATGAAAATATGTTTAAAACAAAAAACAGCATAACACACAGAAGCAAATAATTTAGTTCTTGGTTTAACTGCTAGATAACTGTTAAAATGAAGCATATTCTTTTTAGGATAATAATAATCTTCCGGACAGTAAATCAACCCCAGTACCGGTCGTTTTATTCCCGGGATTATTATTGCGGAATTTCCCGAAAAGTTGGCAATTTTCCAACATATTATTATTATCGTTTATTTACGAATAAACCGCGGTTATGTCGAATCGGTCTTTGCGATCAAAACGGTCGGGCAAGTCAAGTGATGTGGTAAAAAGTAGTGCAAATGGTGGTGTGCAAACGGTGGTCATGGAGGATCCGGAGGAGTCCCATCCCGGTCATACATGTCAGGTGTGCCGAGGAGAAGATACGGACGAGATGGTGAGATGCGACGATTGCCTGAAATGGCATCACTTCGGATGTGTCGGAGTCACGCAGGAGGTTGAGAATTATACCTGGAGATGTACCAAATGCGAAACAGCGAAAGGTGTCCAGGCAACAAGTTCAACTTCTGAAGCAGTTCATCCTCATGAAGGTGGTGGTCATAAAAAGCAGTCGTCCGATCCCGTCGATGCTACCGATCGCTGTCGATCCAGTTCCGTCCATCACAACTCTACAGTGGGATACGAGGAGTAAGAAGATAAACCCATCGATCAAACCGTCGAAAACAACCTCTATAGCATCGAGTCGCTCCTCGCAAGCCCTTGCGAAGCTAAAGCTCCAGAAGCTCGAGGACTTGAGGATAATTGAGCTGCGTGAAGCAGAACTTCAACGAGCGATTGCAGCGGAAGAAGCGAGAAAGGAGAGGGCCTATTTGGAGCAAAAATATCAGCTGATGGAGGAGGCTATAAGTGAAACTAGCTCAGTCAGCAGCGTAGCTTTAAATCGGATGAAGGACTGGGTGGCATCTTCCAGCAATCAACAGGAAGAGCTTTAGATCCAGAGCAGGATCCGGATTTGGAGAGTCAGTTTGATCCTGATAGCCATTCAAGCAGGAAGCAATTGAGATATCCTACGGTTTCCCAACTCGGAAGCAACCAAAGCAGCAGTCACGGTACGCTTTCTGGAAGTTCAGAGCCTGGTCCTCCGGAACCATTCCCATGGACGGAGTCTTTGAAATCGCTTTCCGTAAAGCATCCAGACCCAACTCCGAAAAACCAACGGCCGGTTCAGAATCCAGCAAAATCATTTCTGGTTCCAGATCGTCCAAGGCCGGCTTCGAATCTTAGATCTCCACGTTGGATCTCACCAGAGGGATCGTCAAGGCCTGCTCCGGTTCAGAATTGCCCACCGTCAGTTCCGATTCCTGCTATTTCACAAAGAATATCGGATCATAGGTCTTCAGGTTTGGCGCCGAACCCAGAGCGTTTGCATTCAGAACCTACTCGTTATCGTCGACATCCAGAACCATCACGATCAGTTCCAGCCCCGACGCCAATAAATCTACGGCCAGAACCCGTTCCACGATATTCACAACCAGATCCGATTCCTTCGTATTCAAGATTTGTTCCTAATCCGGATTCACGGGTGCCAGCCCCAATTCTGGTACAGGATACACCACAGAACTATCAAAGTTTTCCTCCAAGGCGATCGAGCCGTCTTCACGATCGTGACGAGGATGCATTGGATCCATGTATGCTTACTCGAAAGCAATTAGCAGCTCGACAAGCTATATCGAAGGATCTGCCGGTGTTCTCTGGAAATCCTGAGGAATGGCCGCTTTTCCGCTCTACCTTCGACAGCACGACAGCGATGTGTGGGTTTACCGACGAGGAAAATATAGCTAGGTTGCAGCGAAGCTTGAAAGGTCGAGCGTACGAAGCGGTGAGATGTCGGCTGATGCATCCTGCCAATGTTAACGGAGTTATGTCGACGCTAAAGATGCTGTTCGGGCAGCCTGAAGTTATTGTCAACTCGATGATTACCAAGATCAACTCGCTCCCAGCGCTGAAGGAGGATAAATTGGAAACGCTCGTGGACTTTGCAGTCAACGTAGAAAACTTCTGTGCGACAGTAGACGCGTGTGGTCTGGAGGAGCATCTTTACAACGTAACATTTCTTCATCAACTCGTCAACAAGCTGCCGCCTTCTATCAAGTTGAATTGGGCTCAATATAGGCAAACGCTTCCAACGGTCAATCTTCCGTGGTTCAGCACCTGGCTCTATTCTCTAGCGGAAGCCGCCAGCGCAGTGATTGTTCCAAACACCAGCTTCGACCCCAAACCAGTTCGAAGCGATGTTCGTGGAAATAAGAAAGGGAATTCCTTTGTCAACGCACACTCAGAAGAACCTGTATCGGATCCCCGCACCACATCGTCATCCAGATTGAAAGTACTTCACGATAGCTGCCCAGTATGCAAGGGAACCTGCAAGTGGATCGCCAAATGCAAGAACTTCATAGAGTTCTCTCGTGACTCACGCTGGGCTACAGTGCGAGACCTCGGCCTCTGTCGGAGATGTTTGCGTCGACACAATGGAGGATGTCAAGCCAAGCTGTGTGGGAAGAACGGGTGCGAGCTAAAACACCACGAGTTGCTACACAACGATCAGAAGAACACGTCACCGTTCAAGGATACAGCACCCAATACCACGAACAAACCTACAACACAGCGCAGTGATCCTGCTCAACCAGGAACAAGTACGTCGGGACACGGATGCCATACTCATCAGGTTACATCCAGTCAGGTTCTATTCCGCTACCTGCCGGTAGTACTTCAAGGAAAATACGGTTCGATCAAGACGTTCGCCTTTCTGGATGACGGATCAGCGCTCACACTTCTAGATAAAGATTTAGCCAAGGAGTTGCAGCTTGATGGGGAGAAAAAACCACTGTGTTTGCACTGGACGGGTGGAGCGCAACGACGAGAAATCAACTCAAAGGCCGTAAGTCTGGACGTGGCAGCAACACATTGCCCCACCAAGAGGTATACCTTGAACGGCGTGCGCACAGTAGATGAGCTTCTGCTTCCATCACAAACGCTCAATGTAGAGGAACTCGGCAAACTGTATCCTCATCTCAAGGATTTGCCGATCACCTCGTATGAAAATGTTCGCCCGAGAATTCTGATCGGTATGAAGGATCAACACCTAAGCCTGGTCCTAAAGAGCCGAGAGGGAACACGTGAGCAGCCGATCGCTGTGAAGACCCGACTAGGTTGGACGATTTGTGGAGGAGGAAACCAAGACGATGTTCCAAACCTAGTGCACTCAGTGTTCCATATGTGCCCATGCGAATCACAAATGGATGAGGATCTACACAAGGCGATCAAAGAATACTTCACAATCGACAGCTTGGGAATTGCGCAACCGAAGATAGCACTCATGTCCGCAGAAGATGAACGAGCCCAAACCCTGCTTGAATCTCGCACCGTTATCAAGGGTGACCGCTACGAAACCGGCTTGCTATGGCGATATGACAATATTCGACTGCCGGATAGTCGCCCTATGGCTCTGCGCCGGCTCCAGTGTCTCAAGAAACGGATGGACAAAGATCCAAAGCTCGCTGAAGCGATCAATTTGAAAATCGCCGATTTCGTCATGAAAGGATACGCTAGAAGACTCACCAATGAGGAGCTGAAGCAACCATTCCATCGGGTCTGGTATTTGCCGACTTTTCCGGTTGTCAACATCAATAAACCGGGAAAAATCCGAATTGTATGGGACGCTGCTGCCTCTGCGTATGGAGTATCGTTAAATTCGGCTCTATTAAAGGGTCCTGATCAGCTTTGCGCACTGCTCGCTATCCTCATCCAGTTCCGGGAAGGCAAAATTGCGCTCACTGGAGATGTGCGTGAGATGTTTTTACAAGTCCTCATGCGCTCGGAAGACCAGCATTGCCAGCGATTCTTCTGGTATGACGAGGAAGGTAACATCGTGGTCTACATCTTGCAGGTGATGACCTTCGGAGCCTGTTGTTCCCCTAGCAGCGCTCAGTTCGTCAAGAATATAAACGCGGAACGATTCAAAGCAGCATACCCAGCAGCAGTTGAAGTCATCCAGAAGTGGCATTACGTCGACGATATGCTGGTAAGCGTTGAGACGGAAGATGAGGCATTTCAACTTGCGCAACAGGTGAAAAAGGTGCACTCAAAAGCTGGATTCGAGATGCGCAACTGGATAAGCAACTCGAAACGCGTTGTGCGGGATCTGCAAGAAGAACATACAGATGAGAAGAACCTCGATCTGTCGCTGGAGCTAGCCACCGAGAAAGTGCTCGGAATGTGGTGGTGTACTGATTCAGATACCTTTACCTACAAGGTCGGATGGACTCGCTATGGAGAAGCGCTATTGAAAGGTCAACGACATCCAACCAAGAGAGAAATGTTACGCGTTCTTATGTCTATGTTTGATCCGCTCGGACTGATCGCACATTTCCTCATGTACCTTAAGGTGCTACTTCAAGACGTCTGGCGTTCCGGTATAGACTGGGATGATGCAATCGACGATGCGCTGTTCGACAAGTGGCAAACATGGCTGCAAGTGCTCCCGCAGGTTGAACGAGTCAGCATTCCTCGATGCTACCGTGCACGAACCTCTCCCAATTGTAAAGACATCCAGCTACATACGTTTGTTGACGCTGGAGATAACGGAATTGCTGCGGCCTGTTACCTGCGCTTCGCTCAAGATGATGTCGTAGAATGCAGATTAGTAGCAGCTAAGACCAGAGTCGCTCCGTTGAAGTTTCTCTCAACACCTAGACTAGAACTTCAAGCAGCATTGGTTGGGGCCAGGCTAGCACAATCCGTATCAGATGCACTGTCATTCCGAATCTCTCGTCGCCACTACTGGTCGGATTCCCAGGACGTACTTTGCTGGATCAAATCTGACCACCGAAGATACTCCCAGTTTGTCGCGTTCCGAGTTAGCGAAATCCTGGACACCACGGAGATGAACGAATGGAGATACGTTCCTACAGATTTAAACGTAGCAGATGATGGGACGAAATGGAAAGGACTTCCTAGTTTGGCTTCAGAGACGAGATGGTTCACCGGGCCCGAGTTCCTGCAGCACCCGGAAACTCGTTGGCCAGACTCATATACTAGCTCGAATGAAGCCGTTCTCGAACTTCGCCGTAGCGTATTAACTCACTTCATTGCCCCGGAACCGATAGTCTGTTCAAGCGATTTCTCAGACTGGAATCGGATTGTGAAAGTGGTTGCTCTAGCTCATCGTTTTCCTGCCAACTGCAAACTGAAGCGCCTCCAGCAACCGATCGTAAGCGGACCTCTCACCAACCACGAAATACTCACTGCCGAATCCTATCTCATTCGCGTAGCACAACAGGAAGCCTATCCGGAAGAAATAGCAGTGCTTCAGAAGTCGCTACAGTGCTCGGATCAACTATCAACCCCGATCCCCAAATCAAGTCCGCTACACCAGAAGACGCCATGGCTGGATCAGAATGGAATCCTGAGGATGCGCGGCCGCATCGCCGCTTGTTTCTACGCAACCGAAGATGCTAAACACCCCAAAATACTCCCCCGTGACCACCACACCACCAAGTTAATCGTTGCACACTACCACCAAAAATACCACCATCAGAATCACGAGACCGTGATAAATGAGATACGACAAAAATACAGCATACCGAAGCTACGCATGACCTACACAAAAGTGCGAAGTGACTGCCAACGCTGTAAGAATGACCGAGTGATCCCGCGCCCACCAATCATGGCTGACCTGCCTGCTGCACGACTTGCAGCTTTCGAACGCCCATTCACCCACGTTGGCGTTGATTACTTCGGTCCGTACGAGGTCGTCATAGGCCGACGAGTCGAGAAACGCTGGGGAATGCTCGCTACCTGCCTCACAATTCGCGCAATTCACATCGAGGTCGTTCACTCCCTCAACACCGATTCTTGCATCATGGCGATGCGAAACTTCATTTCCCGCCGAGGAAAACCACGGGTGATCTACAGCGATCGAGGTACCAATTTCATTGGTGCAAAGCGGGAGATGACGGAAGCTGAAGAATCAGTCAACCAAAATGAACTGATGAGGGAGTTCGTGGATGCTGGAACAACCTGGGAGTTCCTGCCTCCCTCTTCTCCACACATGGGCGGTAGCTGGGAGCGCTTGATCGGTTCCGTCAAAAAGAACCTAATGGCGATCCTACCAGCACGGAAGCTGTCGGACGAGGTCTTACGGAACCTGCTGACTGAAATCGAGAACACGGTGAATTCCCGCCCACTGACGCACGTTCCTGTCGATGACGATTCAGCTCCAGCCTTGACGCCCAACCACTTCCTTCTGGGCTCTTCCAATGGAGTCAAGCCGCTCAGCACCATTGATGACAGCGGAGCAGTTACACGACAAAGTTGGCGATTGTCCCAAGCCCAAACTAACCGGTTTTGGAAGCGTTGGGTAAGCGACTACTTGCCCGAGATAACCCGGCGTACCAAGTGGTTCGTACAAACGAAGCCGATTGAGGTCAACGACGTTGTGGTGATAGCGGACCCGAAGATGCCACGGAACTGCTGGCCGAAAGGCAAAATAATCTGCACTCAACCTGGACGAGACGGCCAACCCAGATCAGCAACGGTGAGGACATCGACCGGGATCTACGAGCGTCCGGTTGCCAAACTAGCTGTTCTAGACGTGCGACGCGAAGCGGAGTAAGCTGACCAGGTGGTCAACGTACCTGGGGGGAGTGTTGGCGTGTCAACGCCAGCGCGCCGCTACTGTGATCAGACAGCAGCTCAGTTTCGACTATTGCGCATGACGTCGCGATGCGCAATAGGCGTGACAGATATTCGCAGCGATGACAGGTTTGGTACTCAGGTATTGGTGAGTAGAATAGAGGAATGATTTGGCAGAAGAGATGATTCAGCACAAACATGGGAGAGTGGGAGAGGAATTGGACTGATAACAGGATTGATAGGAGAATGAGTAAACAAATAATCTAGACAAAAAATTAGAAGGCAAGTGAAAGAACACAGATTGCAGAAAGTAATTACTAAATTAACTACTGAAACAATATCCTAAATATCTAAATTCCTTAGTGCTTATTTCTAAAATTATCAGGTAATTGGCTTAATGATAAAATCAAGTGAAATTTACTTAATCTAATATGTTTTTGGACAGGAGAGCATATGATAAATGAATTGTATATTTCCAACCTAAAACTAATATTCTTAAAACTACATTGTTTAAGGTAATTGAATACCGCTGAACTTATACAACTATTTACAACTAAATTTATTATAGTACGGTGAATTAGTACGGCAAAGAAGAGGTATAGACATACCACCAGGCAAACGAAACACATAGTACGGGACTAAACGTAAGTTTATGCATGAAAATATGTTTAAAACAAAAAACAGCATAACACACAGAAGCAAATAATTTAGTTCTTGGTTTAACTGCTAGATAACTGTTAAAATGAAGCATATTCTTTTTAGGATAATAATAATCTTCCGGACAGTAAATCAACCCCAGTACCGGTCGTTTTATTCCCGGGATTATTATTGCGGAATTTCCCGAAAAGTTGGCAATTTTCCAACAATAAGAATTATGGCAAACGTCCATTATGGCTATCGCACATTATGGCTAACGTCCAAATAGGAAAATAACAGTATGGCTAACGTCCGTATGGTTAACGTATTCATGGCTAATGGGGTTTATAGTGTTAACCCAGCGAATCCTGCTTGCGAAACTGGAACGCTTAGAGTTCGAATCTCGGTTTACCAAATGTATGGAAACTTACCTTGTCAACCGCCGCTTTCACGTAAAACTTGGTAAAACGAATAGTTCGGGAGTGCCACAAGGAAGCAATCTAGGACCACTGTTATTTTCCCTGTTTTTCAACGATGTTTGCTCTATCCTACCCGATGCATGTGCAATTGCGTATGCAGATGACCTGAAAATCTATTTGATAGTAAGATCAATGCAGGACTTCCAGCAGCTGCAGCGGTATCTTGATCTTTTTGAAGACTGGTGCGACAGAAATGTGCCGTAATATCATTCACCAACAAGCAATCTTCTAGATGCTGGTCTTATACAATCTGTGGTGAAAGGCTGGAAAGAGTTACAAGTATCAAAGATCTTGAGGTGGAGCTAGATTACAAAATGACGTTCCGTGATCATTACTCCAACATCATCGCAAAGGCTAATCGGAGTCTGGGCTTCATCATCCGCATTTCGAAAGAGTTCCGTTATCCGTACTGTTTACGAGCTCTGGTACGTTCCGGGTTAGAATCAGCATCTGCCGTGTGGACTCCTCATCATGAATTTTGAATTAAAAGGATAGAGACAGTTCAAGCTAAATTCTTTAGATACGCCCTACGGTTTTTGCACTGGAATAGCCCAAATGAACTCATGCAAAATGGATGGGGAGAGTGGAAATACCAACTCCCTATCTTTGACATTTCGTGAATAGAGGGCGGGCTCTTCTCCCCACTCATTAGGGCATCCTCCTGTTGGATGGCCTGTCGTTTGACAGGTTGCATAATCCTGTTGTTGGAAGGAGATTCTTATTTATCCCGTGGATGCACGTGGTAGTTAGTTCCATGTCATCATCAAATCATCATCACTAAGCACAACCCACTCTTTGGCTCTATTTTTCGAGCGGATTTTTTCACAAAACGGAATGTTTTCACTGCCGATGACTTCTAAATTTGATTAACTTTCTTTACCGTAAGATTTGATAAGGAGTAACAAATTGTTGAGATACTGTTAAAAACCTAACACTGCTTCTTTTAAAAAAAAAATTATCTTTAAAAATCTAACACTGCTGATTTTTTTCAAAATCCACAATTTCGGTCCCATCCTCATCCGTCCTTCTTGAACAGTTTCTTTTCCAACCCGAAGCATGGATACTCAAAGGCTATGCTCAAAATACCGCCCAGCACAGCACTCACTCCCACCAATCCAAATACCCTATGGATCAAATCTTGCCCACTGAAGTACACCGGAGCCTTCAAAAGCATCGTAATCAACACCGCCTGGATGGCAATGTGCACCAGGTACATCGTATACGACAATTAGGCCATCGGTTGCCAGAAACTCCAGCTGAGAAACTGATGCACTATCCCACCCTGGCCGTTGCAACCAACAAAGATTGGCCACATGACTCCAAAGACCCAGAACGAACGGTGCAGAGATTCGTAGAAGACATCCACTGGAAACCGATTGTAGTCACCGACGTAGATCTGCTTCAGCGAACAGCAGGTCAGGACCGGCATTGCGATTACCAAGGTCCAACCCAAGAATTAGCGCTCTCCTTGGCAATCGGATGTTTCTGGATTTGGTCCGATGTAATATGTACTCAAACAGAACCCCAAAAAGCCAAACGGACATGTGGGCATGCATTAGGTGATAGGTCTTCCTTGTCATTAGACCATATCCGATGGCCGCAGCCTTGTTCAATCGATACCCGTGAAGGTAGTGAAATCGAGAAGAGCGCTAACAGAACGATGACCGGAACGAATCGTTTTCCGTACTTCCAAAGAGGAATCAGTATTAGTGGGGGAAATAATGTAGAGTTGAATGTCCACCGAAAGGTACCAGGTATGTGGAAGGTACATATCATTCTGGTGGACGTAGTTTTGAACGTATAGAAGAGCCGACCACCAACTCTTGGAACAGGAGTTTTAAATCTGTAACCTTCCTTATCCAAAGTAGTTGATGAAGGCCAACGTGAACAGTATCATGGCGGCGTAGGCTGGAGTGACTCGGATGATTCGATGGAGTTTAGCTTCCGCTTGCGGTCTAGCTCACGGAATATGTCTATGGCTTTGCCACCCAGACGGTGGAATAAGACTCCATAGTAGCTACTGGCGTACTCTGTTCGCATGGAAGTGTTGGTAAATAGTTGGAAGCCCCATCGCTGTATCGTGGACATGGTTAGCGATAATCCAAATCATCGACAAGGCACGTATGCCGTTGACGCAGTCCATTGTTCCGCTCTTGGTTTGGTTTTGCGGGACCGTGGCACTGATCTTCACTAGATGATTGTAGAATGAGAAACGTTCCACGTAGCTAAGAACAACTTTGTGGGTGTAGACAAACAAGAGGTTGGCTATCGTGGCAAGCACCATGGCAGTTATCGTGAGTGTGGAGAAGTTCGTCGTCTTTGTAGGCAGACGTTGATCACTTGCATTCCATGATCTTGCAGGAATGCGTCCGTCAATTCCAACACCATCCGTGGTTAACACATATCCGGTACGCAGATACCGTACCAGATTGGAGCGATAGGAAGATGCAGCACTGTCACGTCCACCATCAATACTGCCATAGTAGTGCGAGTAGTGTACTCTTCGACACTAGTCAAAGTTTCCAAACTCGTAGACATTGCCAAAGAGGCCTTACCCCACAAATCTAACACTACAAATAAATTCCTTAAATCAGCACTCCTACAACCACCATCCAAGGTATGAACATTTTACAGCTCACAGATCATCGTTTCCAAGAGCTTTCGCAAACAACTCCAACTGATTGACACACGACCGGTCAACGCCAGCCACCGTAGGATCCGAGAAATTCCAAGCAGAACTCTGCCGTCCAAGAAAATCCACAAACTCCGGAATCAAATTGAGAAGCTCCGTTGTTGAAGAAGCAAAGCTCAACCAAATAAGCAATGCAGCCACGATGCAGCGCTTCCTAGTTCAATGGTGAAACTGCCAACGAACCGATTCGGGGTTCACCAATTACCCATTAAATGCAATGATAAAGCCCAAACCCCGACCCGGATAAGATAACAAAGACAAACGACAATACTGTAATCACCTATAATGCTTTATTGTCGTGATTTTCGAATCCACTCACGGGCGTATCGTTCGGCTACCTGGATCGGTTGCTCGATGAATAACCACCAGACGAGAGATAACACGCCGCTTAATCCGATAACGCCTAGATTTACGTATTGTATGTTTACCTCGCTAAAATAGAACGGTTGATGGATAACTCCCGTGAAGCTAACCGCGATTACAACGTAATGGATAAGGTACATCGCGTAGGACAACCGTGCCACCGGTTGCCAAAACGTCCATGCCAGAAAGTGACCCAGAGCACTGGCATGCCCGTTGATACACATGAAGATGAGCCACATGATACAAAGCACCCAAGCGACCCGGTGCAACGCTTCGTAGAAGGCATCCCCGAGGGGATCCGCCTCCCGTGGTTTGTAGATTTCGTGGGCACAGAACATGATGAACCCGGTTAGGGCGGTGGCAGCGATTGACCCTCCTACCAGGATGACAGGTGAAGGAACGATTCGCTTCTCACGGGTACGGAACAGTAGAAATCCAAAAGCGATCCCACAGAACCAAACGGCCATGCGGGCGTGAGTGGAGTAGTATGTTAGGCGATCACGCTCGAACTCCCGGTCCGGGGTCATTGGTGGATTGAGGACAAAGTCGTTGACCATGAAGCTGGTGAATACGCAGGCCACCGACAGCAGAACTAGGAATGACAATCCAATCAGAGTTAGGGTGCCGAATTTCCAAAGAAGGTAGATGATTAGCGGAGAAATAAGGTACAGTTGCATGTCTACCGAGAGGTACCAGGTGTGGGGTAAGCACTGAAAATAAGAAAGGTAATTCAGAGAAGTAATGATGAACATCTCGAGCAATACCATTCGATCTGGATTGACGTAGTTCTGTACAAACAGCATCGCCGACCACCAGTTATCGGAGCAAGCATCCACTAGTGGTTGAACATAGTGGCGGAACAGTGGACCTTCACCGAAGTACTCCGCAAATGCAACCACCGAGAAGATGAGAAATCCGTAAGCTGGGACGATTCTGAGGATGCGATGGATCCAAATCCGCGACACGACAACCTTTCCGGTTGCGGTGACCTCCTTCAGGACGTTGTAGGTTAAAAGCAAAGAACTTAGCACCAGGAAAATGTCCGCCGACAGCGCCGAAGCACGGTAGCTAATGAGTCCCATAGCGGATTCGAAGTATTCTTCTCTGGCCAAGTGATTCGTGGTCGGTAGCGTTCGAATTGCATCGTGAACGTGGTACATGATGATTTGCAGCATCATGAACGAACGAATTCCGTTGATGCAGTCCAGGGTGTCGGTTTTCTCTTTGGACTTGGGTGTCGTTCTGAACAATGCGAACAGCTTGTAGTAGAGAGATAGCTCCTTGATTGGCTTGGGAATCGACCGTTTGAGTATGAATCCAAGGACTTCCACGACCGTGCTGGCCACCATAATGGTTGCAATTAATCCTAAAACGACTCTGAAACAAGACTATCAGACTGAAATCTGTTCTGTAAACAATAAATACAAGCCTTACAGAGCGGCGATGGTTGTCCCACCTAAGCTCCCCGTTGAATCATCTCGGTAGCAAAAATCGTCTTGACTGTAGTCCGTCACTATTCCAAACCCGTTTTCGAGTGCAAACTGATCCACCAGCTGTTTTACGAATCCTGCTTCGCACGAATCCGGAACGCACATACCCAACCACAGTTCATCGAGCGAATTATCCACGGTTTGAAGGTTCAACCGCACAGTGCAGTGCTGTCCGTCGAACACTCCAGCGCTATTGCGTACCGAAAGCCGCCGACATTGATCGAAACTGCCCGGAGTAAACGAGTTTCCGCTTAACAATCCCGATGGCAACTTCCCCCATGAATCGTACACTGAAACAAAGCTAAATCATTAACGGATCACTATTATCTACGTAGAAACTTACTCTGCAGTGCCCATCCTTGCTCGTTCCGTAGTCCTAAGCCAAACTGCTCCAACTCGTACAAACACAGTCGATCACGCCATTCATCCTCGGAAGATGTCAGGTTCGTCCGGGATCTAAACTCCCCAAGATAGACGGCTAGTGAGAACGGTAGGCCTTCCAATCGTTGAACCACTTGAGACCACGATAATCCAATCAAAAACAACAATCCGAACAGCGAAAAATGAAGCAAATGCATGCTGACTAGCTGCTGGCCCGGTCAAGACCCAAACCCAAATAAGAAAGCCAAACTTTATTTTGGTCAACTACCCCGTGCAGCGATAAGATTTCAGCTGTGAAATCTTATCAATGAAAGTCAATCCTTGGGGGGGGCGGGGGAGTTGTAAATCTTTTGCGAATAGATATGATTTCAGCGTTTCGTTCAGTGCATAAGAGTGCCAAAATCGCCAGGGATGAAGTGAGCGCTTGCCTGTGTATTTATATGGGAAATTAGTTTCTAAGTAGTAATTTATCAAGCGTTATAAATGGAACTTCAAAAATTGCGCTCCAAGGCAGAGAAACACTCGCGGCTAACCCGATGGCTCCCCAAATACGGTAGAATAGATCCATCATGCTGAAATGTGCAGTCGTTTTTGATGACGCAACCGAAGCCATCGTGAACAATAGGACATGCAAAAGATACATGGTAAACGATAGCCTGGACAACGGTTGCCACAGCGGAGCGCTTAGAAATTCGTTGATCACTCCAGCCTTACCACTAACACACGCTAGAATTACCCACATGAGTGCTACGGCGAATACGGACCGGTGCAGTGACTCGTAGATTGCATCCAGCACTTGCGGATATTGGTCAAAATCTGGACGCTGAAGTTTGTAGTTGGCACCCGCGATCAATCCAAAAATGGTGAAGCAGATCACCCAGCCCACCGGCCAGATCCACTTGGGTACACTCAACCCGTAAGTCTTCGTTTTGTACAGGTAATATCCGAAAATGATTCCCCAAAGCCATACGGCCATCCTGGCATGGGTGGGGAAGTAGGTTAAGACGTATTTCAGCCCATCTCCAGATGAATCTATGTAGCTATATCTGTAGTCCTTGACGATGAAGGTTACGAAGACGCTTCCCATCGAGAGAACGGCTAAGGAGGCTATAACGATGAGTACTCGCTCTCCGTAGCGCCAAAGCGGATAGATTAGTGCAGGAGCCAGGATGAACAGCTGCATGTCAACCGAGAGGTACCATGTCCAACCCAGGCACTGCGTTCAAACGAGACTTGTAGTTATTTAAGGACCCAATGATCCCTAGACTTACCATCCGAGCAGGAACAACGTAGTTTTGAACATGCAGCAAAGCTGACCACCAATTCTCCATACATATATCCCTCATATCGCCAATTATCATCCACAGTGGTCCTTCTCCCATGTAGGTAGCGAACGATACGGTGAACAGAACCAAAGCAGCAAACGGTCCCGTAATTCTAATGTACCTATGCAAATATAGCATCAATGGGTTGAGTCTACCCTTGGCGTCGAGCTGCCGCATCAAGTTCATTGCTACCAGAATTCCACTTAACACTAGAAAGGTATCCACTGCTAGATACCCTGTAGTGTATAAAATGGCGGATGTGAAGCTGTCTAGGTAACTGTGCACAGCAGGATTATTATCAAATGGAACTTGGCCTAGGGCTTCGTGAACGTGAACAGCAAGGATCCAGATCATGGAGATCCCTCGAAGACCGTGCGCGCAATCGATCATGTCTGAATTAATTGGTGATCTTGGGCTGATGTGCAGGATGCTCTTTACATTTCGGTACAGAGAAAACGAACTATACAGTGGATTGACGAGATGGCCCAACCAAATCTGTCTGCACTCGTATGCTGTGCTCAGCAGGACTACCACAGCAATTGCAGCGAATACGACTCTAAAATAGATTTATTACTCACTCAGACGTGGGATGTCTCAAACTTCAGCTTGTTAACTTACATCGCCACTACGGTAGCTCCATTGAAATCCACTTCTTTGCCGTGCTCACACACCCATTCCGGACCGTACAATGGTAGCATCTTAGCACCCATGGTCTCCAAATACCCACTATACATTTTTTCAACAAATACCGGTGCGCATACACGAGGCATACACAACCCAGCGATCAACGTTCCCATGTCTCCGGGAAATCCAACCGCAAATGTACAATGCTGGCCACGAATTCCATTCCAGTTGAACTGCCTACACTGATCGAAATTCCCCAACGCCCACGGATTCTCGTAGTACAATCCGGATGGAATCTTACCCCACGAGTCGAACCCTGCACAAACGATATAGAGCAATTCAGTGAGGTTCGTTAAGTCGTCCAAGCGCGACCCATCGATGTCATCGTCATCCTCGCGTCACTCACACTCCAATCCGTAACGATCCTGATTGAGATAAGCTTCCGCCAGCTGGCGAACTGCCGTCACACATTGTTGATTCGTCGACAGCTCCGACGAGGACAGTATTGACTCATTGAATGCCACTAGGTAATCCAGAAATTGGCGATTCAATAGCAGCACATCGTCGATGCTGTAATCTTGCTGAGCCACCACGGCAGTTGTTGCGCCAAAACCAAAGACACCAGTTATCATCAGTAATCGAAGAATGGGACACATCTTGTCCGTGGCAGTGTTTCCGTTTAACTGACGAGTTTGACGCCAAAGGAGCCGAACCGAGTTCATTCCCGTTGGACAAATCGAATTGTCTGACCAGTGTGATTAGATACCGACAATCTATTGCAATTGTTCGCGTTCTATTGGATCTTATCCACTGCAGTACGCTAGAAACGCGACTTAATAGTGTCAATGTGTATTTTAGTAGCTAAATTGGTTTACGTGATCCAATCTATTATTATTATTTTTTACTTTCAATCTAAACAACTTTGGTCAGGAAGTCTTCTCTCACTGTAATCTAAAGCAATACAATAAGACGCTGAAGCGATTGCATTTCGACGGAATAGTCACGCTGGGTGTTTTGTTATGGAATTTCTAATGAGTGTAAAATTACGGTTCATTGCTGTTGCGATAGAGAGTGAGAAAGCAATTCACAGATAAACAGACATACGCGCACATTTTTTTTTATACGTCCTGGAAGTTCTGATGTGATATCCAGAACTGTTCAAATTTTATGAACTTCTCTCGAAAACCATCCAAAGTCCAATGAACTTCCTGTCAACAACTGTAATCCAACTTTTTAAACTTCTGAATCTTTAGAACTCTAGGAATCTTCAAGAAATTTGAACACTCTTAAAATTTCCGAATTTCCATGGCTTCCTATAAAACTTCCAAACTTTCAAAACACTAGGAGTTTCTGGAACCCCAGCAATCTTTAGGATTATTCTACCATCTACTCGGGTTTACATACGAGAAATTCTAGCTGAAAGTGGATAAATTTACCGGCACTAGTGTTTTTAAGAACCTCGAACAAAAAGTGGCCGGTGTCTGGGAGAATTGTTCATACTAAATATGATTATCTTAAGATTCAAGACACATTGGTAAAGTCTGAATTGGTTAACACTCATAAAGCTTGAGCAATTTGAATGAAAGGTTAGCTAATTAATAGTTAAATAGGCCTTTTCATAGAAAAATAAGTTTTTTTTACTTTTAAATCAACTTACTTCAATTTACTTTGATGCTTTTTGTAAAATTTCAAAAGCAGTTTTTTTCCGACGCATTATTTCAGATTGCAAAAAGCTCACACTATTCGATTCCTTTTGATATTTTACACAAAATGACGCGAGCTTTTTGCAATCTAAAATAATGCGTCGAAAAAAACTGCTTTTGAATTTTAAAAAAATGCATCCAAGTAAATTGAACCTTAAGGACCTAATCCATTGTTTGACTTGATATAGTTTTTCGGACTCGGCTGTCACCCCTAAATGCAGTGCACCCGGTGCAAACAAGTTGGATTGCTGCGATTACCGCGTGATCACACTTATGATCGGCGCCTACAAGGTACTCTCCCCACTCTCCCAAATTCTATGCCGCCTGTCACCATTTGCAAGAGAGTTCGTGGGGCAATACCAGGAGGGATTCATGGGTGCCCGCGCTACCACGGACGAAATTTTCACGATTCAGCAGGTTCTGCAGAAATACCACGAATACAACGTGCCCACATATCATTTGTTCATCGATTTCAAATCCGCATACGACACATTCGATCGAGATCAGCTATGACAGATTATGCACGAGTACGAATTTCCGGATAAACTGACGCGATTGGTCAAGGCAACGATGGCCATCCAGCTTCTTGGCTTCGCCGATGAAATCGACATCATGGCACTGAGCTTTGAGACGATGGCGGAAACGTACATCAGACTGAAGGCTAAAACTATGCGGATTGGACTTGCCATCAACGCATCAAAGACAAAATACATGAAAGGAAGAGGTCGTGGTTTCCAGCTCATTATCCAGCGATGTCAGCAACAGCGCATGCACATACCCTCGCAGTCAAATTGATCCTATCTTCACCATTTACTACCAAAACGTAAGAGGTTTACGAACGAAGACAACCGAGCTCCGCTTAATGCTTTCAACATGCGACTACGACGTTCTGGTTCTCACCGAAACCTGGCGTCAGATTATCATTTCTTCCGCTGCAACCGTAATCGAGCTACCAGTCAGCTTTCCAGAGGCGGCGGTGTACTTATTGCGATAAAATCCAAGCATTCATGCACATCAGTTTCGCTCGAGAATTGCGACCGTCTGGAGCAAGTGGCTGTGCGCATCACCCTGCAGCACCACTCGCTATTCATCACCGGAATCTATCTCCGTCCTCTCTCCAGCCTGGATTTAAACACGTCTCACACTACTGCACAACAGACTATCTTTGAGAGATCTTCGAATGCCGATATCATCTTGGCAATGGGCGACTACAGCCTTCCGTTTCTGAGTTGGACTTTCGACGAGGACGTGAACGGTTATTTACCATCAAACGCGTCCACTGAACAGGAACTGGCTCTCACGGAACCGATGCTCGCTAGCGGGCTAATCCAAGTCAATTCACTGTCTAATTTGAATGGAAGACTGCTTGACTTAGCCTTCATCAGTGATCCGGATAACATTAACCTTCTTGAGCCTCCGGTCCCTCTACTGGATATCGATCATCATCATAAGCCATTCATCTTACGACTTGATGCCGACTGCAATCCGCATATGATATCGGACTGTGATTCATATCCACCTGAATTGGATTTCAGGCACTGCGATTTCGGCTCGTTGCATAATGAACTGTCCACTATCAATTGGCAACAGATTCTGGATGGTGTTTCTGTCAACGCTATTGCTGACCAATTCTACGACAATCTGTATGAAACACTCTATGCGCGAGTTCCTCTCCGGAGGCGTGTTACGAGGTTAACCTCAGTGCAACCCTGGTGAAGCCCTGAGCTACGTAATTTGCGGAACGTATTGCGTAAGTCGCGCAAATGCTATTTCAGTACCAGAACCAACGAGAGCAAAAATAGTCTCCGATTAATCGAAACGAGATACAACGGACTGTTGAAGCCTAGCTATGGGGAGTACGTCCAGCGAACGCAAGCGAATCTGAAGCAGCACCCATCGGCGTTTTGGAAGTTCTTTAAATCACAACGGTCTGGTAATCGTATTCCGGACATAGTTGAGTTTAACGGGATCGCTGCTAGGTCCCCTGTCGATGTTGCTAACTTGTTTACGCGCTTCTGCCAATCAGTTTACAACACAAATTCACCTCCTCTAAATCCTTCAAGTTTCGATCGCATCCACAAGTACAACCTGAATATCCCAACGTTGCGCTTCTCACCGGACGACGTTATGAAAGCCTTGAATGACCTCGATGTTTCTAAAGGCCCTGGGGTAGATGGTATTCCCCCACCTCTGCTCAAATATTGCGCACGCTCACTCGCTTCTCCGATCTCCTGCATATTCAACCGTTCGCTGAGCGAAAGATCATTTCCCAATGTTTGGAAGACAGCTTCAATTGTGCCAATCCATAAAGCGGGTAATCGAAACCGAGCTGAAAACTACCGTGGAATATCAATCCTCTGTTGCATTAGTAAGGTCTTTGAAACCTTAGTGCACAATGCTCTGTACAATGTGGTTCATCCTATAATATCGGAGTTCCAGCATGGGTTTGTCACAGTGCCACACGTGTACACTACCGAAAAATTAAGAGCTATTGGATTCCCTACTTGGTTAGTTGATTGGATTCTCTCTTACTTGACCGACCGCCATTCCTTCGTTTCGGTCAGTTCTGCACGCTCGAAGGCCTTTGCAATTACTTCGGGAGTACCGCAAGGAAGTGTGCTCGGCCCAATGCTGTTTGTCCTTTTCGTCAACGATCTGTGCCTTCAGATTTCTTCATTTAAGCAAATGTTCGCCGACGACCTGAAGATGTTCAGAGTCATCGCGACCGTACTCGACTGCCTCGCCCTGCAAAATGACATAAAAAGGCTACTCCTATGGTGCCAAGAAAATTGTATGAGTGTCAACATAGGAAAATGCAAGGTGATATCGTTTTCCCGTCGGAACACCACCGTCAACCACCAATACACAATTGGATCCGTGTCATTAGAGCGTGTTACCTCAATTTGTGATCTTGGTGTTGCTATTGACTCGAAGTTAAGATTCAACGAACATATTGCACTTGTCACGGCTAAAGCTTCTACGGTTCTTGGATGCATTCGACGCTATACGTGGCAGTTTACAGACATTTTTGCACAAAAAACATTGTTCTGTACTTTGGTACGTAGCATCCTGGAATACGCGGCCTCTGTCTGGACACCTTATCACGCATCGCTGATCATCAGAGTCAAAAGAATTCAGAAGGTTTTCATTCGATTCGCGCTGCGCAACCTTCCATGGAACGACGACCCGCTAAATCTGCCTGACTACACTCTGCACGCAGTATGCTGATTGATTAGGAAACCGCACAAATATTCAGCTACTAGTTAAACGTCAAACCTTCCACAAGCAGCATCCGTGACCTGCGAATTCCACCCGATGTCCCTTCCCTCCAGATCAACGATGCTCTTACCTTCCGGGAGCTTCAGGTTGCCCTCGGCAGCAGTACTGGTAAATCTGCCGGGCCGGACGAGATTGGATACCCGGTGTTAAAAAACCTCTCCCTCGACGGAAAAACGAGGCTACTCGCCCTCTTCAACGACCTATGGCTCACTGACTCGTATCCGGACCTCTGGAAACAAAGCCTGGTAGTGCCCATTCCGAAGAACAACGCGGCGATTGGAGAAGCCTCCTCCTTTAGGCCGATTGCGCTCACTTGCTGCGCGGCAAAAGTGATGGAGAGAATGGTAAATCGTCGACTTAGGCAGTTCCTGGAGTCTAACAGTCTCCTTGACGAACGGCAGCATGCATTCCGGCAAGGACATGGCTCCTCCACTTACTTTGCAGCCCTCGGGAATGTACTCAAGGAAGCCCAGGACAACGGTCACCATGCGGAGTTAGTATCCTTTGATATTTCAAAGGCGTTCAACAGGACGTGGACGCCTGGTGTCATCAGGCAGCTCATCGGCTGGGGCCTGAAAGGCCACATCACGCACTTTGTACGGAATTTCCTTCTTGATCGTACCTTCCAGGTGACTGTCGGGAACACTCGATCGGATCCGTTCCCCGAGGAAACTGGAGTGCCCCAGGGATCCGTCATAGCGGTAACGCTATTCCTGTTGGCAATGAACGGGGTGTTCAGCCGACTGCCCAAGAACGTGCACGTAATCGTCTATGCCGATGACATACTCATCGTCGTAACGGGACGAACGACTAAACGGACCAGGAATACTGCCCAAGCAGCTGTCTCCGCCGTCAGGAGGTGGGCGCTTTCTGTTGTTTTCCAGCTCTCCGCTCCAATGAGTGTACGGTGCCATATCTGCCACTCGGCCATCTGATTCGGGGACCACCGATCACCATCCAGGACCATCCAATTCCGCTTAAGAAAACAGTACGTGTTCTGGGGGTAGTTCTGGATCGGACTCTAAGTTTCGACCAGCACTTCAGAACGGTGAAAGAAAACTGTCGTAGCCGCATCAACATCGTCAGGACAATCTCCCGCCCGCACCGCTCTAGTAACCGCGAGATCCGCCTTCGTGTCGCCCGGGCTGTTATCGACAGTCGACTTTTCTACGGCATTGAAATTACCTGCTTAGCCACCGAGAAGCTGAACCGCATCCTCGCTCCGGTATACAATACCTACGTACGCATCGTATCTGGCCTTCTACCTTCCACGCCTGCAGACGCTGCTTGTGCGGAAATCGGAGTCCTCCCTTTCCGCTATCAATCTGCTGCAGCTACTGCTACGAAAGCCGCTGTCCTCGCTGCTAAGACATCCGGGAATGATAGGGTCTTTCTCCTCAACGAGGGGAACAGAGCCCTCCGCACTGCAGCCAACCTTGACCTCCCCCCGGTGGCCAGGGTCCACTGGCATCGAGAGAAAAGTTGGCGATCTAACGTTATCAAAATAGATAAGCGGATTAAGAGAGGATTCCAAGCCGGAGATAACTCTGTAGCGTTGAGGCGTTCTGTTGCAGAACTTCTTGGGTCGGTCTATCCGGGGCTGGAGTGGGGCCTCGATCACGGGCTGGAGTGGGACTCGGAGTGGCAGGACCAAACTCCACAACAAGTCAAAGTCTACCGGAGGAGTGTTCCGTTTTTTCCGCAGAAGCCGCTGCTATTCTTGATGCAGCCATCACTCCTGCAGATCAACCGATCCTTGTGCTAACGGACTCTCACAGCGTCATCCAGGCGCTGGAAGCCGAAGCCCTGAGCCACCCCTGGATACAAGCCATTACACGATATGCCCCACCCTCAACCGTTTTTACGTGGATTCCCGGGTACTGCGGTGTTCCTGGAAATGAGGCTGCGGACAGGCTGGCGGGATCCGGTCCATCTGGTCCCCGCTTCACCAGGAACGTACCACTCCTAGACGTCAAGCGTTGGATCGCGAATATTATCATGGAAGCCTGGCAGGAGGAATGGTTTCAATCGCGGACCACTTTCCTGAGAAAGATCAAAGAAACCGTACGACCCTGGCTAGACAGCCACAAGTACAATGACCAACGGATCATTTCAAGACTTTGGACCGGCTATGCGAGGACTTCCCACAATTTTGGTGGGACACCCTTCGACAAGGTTTGTCCAATCTGCAGCATCCCTGCCTCGGTGGAACACGTGCTGTGTGTCTGCCCAGAGTTTCAGAGGCTACGCGAACAACACCGACTCCCAGAGAACATCAGGGAGCTACTTGGCAACGACTCCTCGACGCTGGCTGCACTAATTGCTTTCTTGAAGGACGCCCACCTGTACAACCAAATCTAGCACTCTCGTCGTTGGCTGCGCTGTCCGTGTTCTTCCACCTTCCTATTTTCCTGCCGTCGGGGTATCTCTGCCGGACTGGGGCACTGTCTCTTAAGGTGGAGCTCCACCTTGTTCGCGCATCCATTCCTCACCACAGTCCCGATGTAACTCCCATTTTACATTAAGTTTTTTTAAATGTTGTCTCAGAGCCAGTTTTACGTTACGTTAATGTTAGACTGAAACGTTTCCTTAGAGGCAGACCCTAAGCCTGACCTTCTACTATGAAATGTGATAAACTAACCTACGGCTAAAAATCACAAAAAAAAAAGAAAAAAAAAAGTTATGTTTGACTTACTGCGTGGCAACATTGATTGTCCTCAACTACTACAGGATGTCCCTCTATACGTTCCACCCCGACAGTTGAGTAGCTCACAACTTGTCGCTGTGCCGGCTTACCGGACTGGTTACGGTTTCAACAATCCATTCCACGCTTGTATGCGAGCTTTTAACGATACTAACGAGGATTTCGATTTTGTGATTAGTAAAAGTACTTTTAAAAATAGGATTAAGAATATTAGGTAAAGTAGTCTGTACGATTTTTATTTTTTATCGAAGATGAAATAACAAATAAATAAATAAAATAAACAATGTTAGCCTCCCATCCCGAGTTCAGATTGACGGTGACGAAATCGAGGTGGTCGATGAGTTCGTGTATTTGAGCTCACTGATGACCGCCGAAAATGATACCAGCTGAGAAATTCAAAGACCCATTATGGAAGGGAATCGTGCCTACTTTGGACTCCGGAGGAAGCTTCGGTTGAATAAAATTCGCCACCGCACGAAGTTGACTATCTACAAGACGCTGATTAGACCGGTGGTCCTCTACGGCCACGAGACCTGCACTATGCTCGTGGAGGACCAACGCGCCCTTGGTGTTTTCGAACGGAAGGTGTGGCCGGTTATCTACGGTGGAGTGCAGATGGATGACGGAACGTGGGGGAGGTGAATGAACCAAGAATTGCACCAGCTGCTGGGAGAACCATCCATCGTGCACATTGCAAAAATTGGGTGACTATGGTGGGCTGCGCACGTCGTAAGAATGCCGCACGACGACCCAGTGAAAATGATTCTCGAAAGCGACCCAACATGAACAAGAAGAAGAGGCGGGCAGCGGGCGGCAAGGTGGATCGACCAAGTAGAAGGCGACCTTCGGGACTGGCGACGTGTGGCCATGAATCGAGTAGAGTGGAGACTACTAGAGTAGTCGAACAGTAGAGGACAACAAGGCCTTAGCCTGATTGGTAAGGTAAGGTACGGTGTCGACCGCACCGAGGGTCGCCCGACCAAGGGGCAAAACAGTTTTTAATCATGAGTAAAATCAGAGTTAATTGTGAGTAATGCCGCGGATAGACTTAGATGACAAACTATGAGCATGAGCATTATTTGTATAATAAATTATGAGCACATCCATTGTATAGTTTTGGTATAGTTGTTGTATAGTGCTCATAATTATTATACAAATAATACTCATGCTCATAGTAGGTCATACAAGTGTATCCGCGGAATTACTCTGAGAAATTCTGAACAGCTCTCAGACTGTGTTCCATTTGGTGAATTTTCACTTAAATTTGACAGATGGAAATTTTTCAAATAAACCTGCTATTCCAGCAGGCTTGTCTCTGACAGACAAGGAATCAACTTTGACAGATGCTTTCTCGAAAATCGACCGATCAACAACAGAGGGATTTTCGAACATCTTAATTTATTCTCGAAGTGTCAAATTTAAGTGAAAAATTTCCAAATGGAACACAGCCTCAGTAACTCGCGATGATCAACATCAAATACACATAGCAACCTGATGTTTGTGTTGAACTCTGTCATCATCGGTGGGCTGAAGACGACTGACATATTTTTCAACAGTAATGAAAATTGGTGCTTTAGTTCTTCCGGATCTGATATTTCTGGTGCTGTTGATGAATTTGCTGGATTGTATAATTTTGTTCGAGATATCGGTGTTACAGAATTCAAGGATGGTAACGATGATTCAAGACGAGATGCCAGATTTGCAAACCTGTCTTTGAATGTGCAGACTTTTGATTTTTGTTGCAGACATTTACCAGGCTCTTCATTTTTGCCGCAGACATTTACAGATTTTTGAAGATTTAGCTTTAACTTATGTTTTTCTATAAAGATAAAGTATAATAATCATACACAGCAAAACATTAATTTTAATATCACATCAAAGTGGATGCACTTCAATCGTGTTGAAAATATGGTGAAATATTGCTTGCCAAAAAGGACAAAATTATCATTAATACAGTGCATAAACTAACATTACGCCGCTTTTACTGCATTTGTTTATTTTTGTGGCCACATCTATATAATAGAACATTTCTTAAGCTACTAAGCTAAATACGTGTAGGTTAGATACTTATTATAAAATTAATGTCTAGTCTCCGCAATCTATTTTATATCTTTTTAACCTCATCGGAAACCTGCCGATTTATCAGAAAATGTTTGCTCAAATTGACAAACGGCAGTTCGAAAAATGCACTCCAAAGAAGAGACACACTCATCGTTATCCCGATGGCAGCCCAGATTCGATTGAACAGGTCCATAACACTGAAATGCATCTCCAGTTTAACCGACGCAACTGAAGCCATCATGATCAGCAGAGAATGCAATAGATACATGGTGTATGACAGTTTGGACAGCGGTTGCCACAAGGGAGCACATAGAATGTCATTGATGACCCCGGCTTTGCCGTTCACACACGCTAGAATAATCCACATTACGCAAATGCCGAACACAGTTCGGTGTAGCGCAGCGTAGAAAGCATCTAAAACTTCGGAAAAGTCATGGTAATCGGTTTGGTTGAATCCGTACTGCCCGCAGACGATCACCACAATACATGCAAAACAGATGACCCACCCAATGTTCCAGCTCCGTCTGGATAGCTTGATCCCATCTGCTTTGGTCTTGTAGAGGACATATCCAAAAATTGTTCCCCATAGCCAAACGGCCATCCTAGTATGCGTTGGAAAATACGTTAGATTCATCAGACCATCGCCATTGGGAGCTGCACTGCTCTTCCTGAAATCATACAACGTGAAGGTTATGAACACACTCGACATGGACAGTAACGCCAGGCCTGCTATAACGAGAAGAAATCGCTTCCCGTACTTCCACAGCGGATAGATCAGTGCCGGTGCAAGCAAGTACAGCTGCATGTCCGCAGAGAGATACCATGTCCAAAGAAGACACTGCAATTTCAAAATGCAAAACGTTAAAACTTAGGTGTTAGTGAACTAGTGAAAACACTTTACTATATTCCCTGGATTGACATAGTTTTGAATGTGCAGTAGAGTGGACCACCAATACTTTGAACAAGTATCTTGCATTTTAAACAGACTCGGCTTCCATTGGGGTCCTTCACCCACATACACGGCAAATGAAGTAACAAACAGAACCAACACAGCTAAAGGAACCGTGATACGTATGTAGCGCTGCAGGTAGAACTGGAAGAGGTTGATTCTACCCTTCTTGTCCAATTCCTTCAGCATATTCCATGCTACTAGCATTCCACTCAGCACGAAAAACGTATCCACAGCAAAAGCACCACTATGAAGCATGACTGTGGAGGCCGGACCTTCTAGAAAGGCACTCCTCGATGAACGGTTGATCACCGGAACCTTGGGTAACGTATCTTGAACGTGATATATGATAATCCAGATCATGGATAGTGACCGAATACCATCAAGACACTCGATCACATATGTCGATTCGGCTTCCTTGGATGGTAACTTGGGAACGATTCGCAAGATGCCTCGTAGATTTAGGTATACTGAAAATGAGCTGTACAGAGGATCGACGTCACGACCTTGCACCAGTTGAACCGCTTCGTAGATTGTGCTGGTCAGCAGAAGAATCGCAATGCATGTGAAAATTACTCTGAAATTGAAACTGGTTACGTATGTTTAGGACAACCACCGCGCTTTAACTTACGTAGCAGTAATAACAGCTCCATGGAAGACAAGCCCTGAATTGTGACTACAGCGTAAATTTGGATCGGCGGGAATTTCCAGTGTTGCATTCCTACCGCTGACGTAGTCTCCGTATATTCTATGAATAAACCTCGGAGTGCACACAGAAGGTACACACAGTCCCGGAACGAACGGAAACATACCCTTTGCATAGGACACTACGAAGACGCAATGCTCTCCACGGATTTGCCGCCAACTGAACTGTCGACACTGGTCGTAGTTTCCGAAGACGTGACTGCTTCCGTAGTAGATTCCCGATGGAGCTTTACCCCACGAGTCAAACCCTAGCAACGCAGTTCAAACATATAATATTGATTTCAAACTATTGCTTAAGATCACTCACACTCCAAACCATGACATTCACGATTCAAGTAGGCGTTCGCCAACTGCTGTAGTGTGTCTACGCAATCTCGATTTGAAGGCTCTTCGTCCGACTCACTGTACACCACAAGATAATCCAAAAAGTGTCGATTGAAAAGTAGTAGTTCTTCAACGCCAATCTGAAGCTGATTGCTTCGTTCTTGTGTCTTGTTCTGACCTACCGAACCAGCCGGAGATCCGAAAGTAGCCAACAGCAGCAGTAATTGCAGCCCAATTAGTCGCATCTTGATGAACAATGCCGGACCGACTAACACTCGACAGCTCGGCCCAATGAGCATAATCTGTCATTTTATCTGTTTAGAGAGGTTTCAATGACCTTGCTGCCCATTATAAAACTATAAACAATTAATTGGACCACTTGGCACCACTGCTGTCTCTGTTGTGAAATGTAAAATTATATTGCGAAGATTTCGTGCACAAGCATATCTTTTGCGGCCAACATGAATCGTGGCAATTAACTTACATTTACATTCAGTTACACTCGAAAAAAAAAATATCAGAATTTTTATTCGTCAGACTTGAACGCATTGGCGTGTTTATTTTTCTCAGTGTGGGGCAAAACTGAATGAGTTATTTAAAGCAGATAAAATGTGATAAACATGCCGACAGTGCAGACATGTTATCAACTATATAGCTATGCTTACACGTGTACACCGCTGGCCGCCCATTTTTGTCAGAACTGGATTGAATGTGCTATTTGCACTCCAAAATTAAATGACTTGTTTGTTTACATTAAAATCTCACCCGCACGGTATTTGTTTTTGGTTTACTAGATGATTCCGCTTCGTAAACGATGGCTTCTTGCATAAATTAAAATCTATGAAATCACCAATTTCATCGGATAAAGCCTGGAATAGAGGGCCTCTTTTTCTACACGACAATTTTGGTGATTTACTTGGGAGAGTTTTCAGGGCTCTTATGAAAGATTGCTGATAACTTACCTATGTTGAATTCGATTCAGTTTAAAAAATTAATTCCCGTTCAAAAGTGGTTTTCTCATTTTTTTTTTTTTTAGTTTTGAGGAAGAATGGGAACTCATTCTCCGATACGAGTTCTTTGCCGCTGGAAACCTCGGTCCGGTCACGACACTGTGCAGTGACTGAGGCGGTGGCATCCGGTAGTCAACACCCATCTTTGGACGGCCAGCAAAGAGGACCTGACGCCACCGATTCAGTTATTAATTTTCAGAAGATTCGGTAAATTGGACTAAACATTGATTAATTTATGTATTTTAATTTAAGCTCCAGAAACAACCAATACAGTAGAGTCAGCAATTGCTTTCCACAAGACTTCGTGAGGCATCTTTGCCAGCACTAAGCATTGCAGGAGTGGATGGAGGATATTTGTCGATATGGCAATAACGGGGTCTGAGCATCACTTCCACTGGATGGAGTCAGTCTAAGCCACTGATAGGGATTACGAAATGCGCTGCCACGTGAACCAACAGCAGGAGGAATCCTAGATCAATTGGTCCATCTTCTCGGTGGCTCAGTATCTTCCGGCTGTACTAAAAGATCACAGCCGTAGCAATCAGATTCATTTTTCACCAAATAACATTAGTTGTTACTACGGATTGGATTGTTTTGGAACTAATTTAACCTTACTTTTCCGGTGCACACACCCGAACACACACCCACGTCTTTGATAAACAAGATTCCATTGCCCTATCGGCTACATTCGTGCCTAGATTCGTGTGGTAAGATAGGTGGCAGTCTTTCGATGCAGGATAGACTGATGCAAAATTTGACTTTTTCGCTCCACAGTGCTTAAATGGTTTCAAATCGGGTCCTGATTAGCCTCCCAAAGTTACAACTCATTTAGTTAGAAACAGACTTCGCACAAGCCATTTGAAGTTTACTTGTAAATTACTATGGGAAATCTCAACTTTTTGTTCATTGCCTTCTAGTCTTTTTCCATATTGAGCTGCGAAACAGTTTGATAGCCATTCTTATAAAAAAAAAATCTCAGCTACAACTTTGCTGAAGATCATTTATATGTAAAACAAGACAGTAAAAAGTTATTAATTATTTAAGAGATTGGTAAACTTATGACAAGATCAACCAGCTGCTCTGTAGGCAACACTGTATTTTGTAGTGTGACATAGTAGCCATGATTTTTGTGCCCAGAAACACCAATGTTTTCTGCTGAGCAGTTGATTGAGCATGATCATAAGACATTAGCGCATTGAACCATTGATAAATTTCGATCCTTGCATTTAATAAAAAAAGTGGTCTGCAGCAAAGTTGTAGCTGGGAAAATTTCCTACAAGTACAATTGAATGTTTTTGAAGCAGACCGATATGGTGAATTATTAGATAGACACGAACAAAAATCTTAGATTTACCATAGTAATTCCCATACAAACTTCAAATGGTTTGTGCCATCTCAGTTTCTCACCAAATGGATTCAAATTTTGAGAGGTTAGTCAGGATCCGATTTGGAATCGTTTAAGTATTGTGGAGCGAAAATTTCAAATTTTGCATCACTCTAATGCAGGATGAAGCATCCCATCAGCAGGGAGTGGAACATCGTCGGGCGACCCCAAGGCCACAACAGTGACGGCTTCGGAAACCGGATAGACAACATGAATAATTTAGGAAGTAATAAATATATTTTTGGAAATTTTATCAAATACATTAAGAAATTAATTAACATTAGAACTTATTTGAAAAATCCAGAAAAAAAGCAAATTAAAAATTAAAAACATTGCTATATAGCCACTATACTGTCAACCACATATAGATGCATTGTAGCTCACATGATTTTGACATTTTTGGACAATCTGACACATCTATATTCATCACATTGATGCGAGGAACGACGAAATGCTGGATTGTTGCCTACGTGATATTTACATCTCATTGATGGATGTTCAGTAGGCCGATTTGACAGCACATCCCGCTCTTGGTATTTTTACGATAGCGTATATGTTTACGATGCCGATAGTAAATACCCCGAGGAATGCCCCTAGTATGTTTCTGAAATACGCAGTCAAACAGCACGTACTGTTGTGAACAACTTCAATGACAGCTGTCCAGCAGTGCTCCCATTTTATTTAATGAACAATCCAATGCCTACGAGATTGTTCCGAAGGTGTGCCGATGGATGAGCCCCCAAATTATTTAGAAAATCGACCAAGTCCTCGTAAACAGTACCACTGAACTGTCAGTCATCCGATTGAGGTTAACCCCGGCGGTGCAAAACCTTATTGGAGGCGGCAGATGGCAGGACTGTGTCAGAAGGGTTAGGGGTTCCCACAATGCTTTCTACGGCGCGTCCCGGGTTCCAACAAGCTGTGACGTGTCCTCCATTAGCAGCAAAATCCAGTTCGCTGAAATTCGAACCCACTTCAGGCAGCGAATGATCAATATGCAATCTACACTTGCCTGACTTAGAAAGTTGGAAAAACCCCGATCCACATCTAAACTCAGGCTATGATGAAAGATGGCTGAAATCGACACGACTGTGAAAGAGGAACCGGGACCTTCCACAATGGTTGAGAAGTTAAACCGTTAAATCATTCGTGGAAGACAACGAACTGCAGCGTCCAAGCAATATTTTCCAAAACGCATATTTTCGTATTAAACCTTCACGGGATAACTTTCTAGACGCATTATTGCATTTAGGGAAAACAAAACTTGTTCGAAATTTAAGCTAACCTTTCGGCGACCACATTACAGAATCTGTTCATGCAGTCAAACATTGCAAATTCTACATACTTGTTTCAGGTTGCGTCAACAAGTGGTATTTAAAAAATAAAAATAAACCATCGTTATCTTAGCAACTATCAATCTAGAATGTGTTTTATTATCCCCTCTTCCCCTATTTTCGACAAATTGTATAATTTACTTCAAACAAAAGAGTAATCGCCTAACGTTACGACCACTCAACTCTTCAACAACAGCTTATCCAGCCTCATAAATGGAACTTCGAAAATAGCACTCCACAGCAACGCCACACTGATAGTCAGACCGATGGTTCCCCATATCCGGTAGAACATATCGATCACACTGAAATATGTACTCGTTTTGGAAGGTGCTACCGAAGCCATCAGTAGCAGCAGTATGTGTAATAGATACATTGTGAAGGACAACTTGGATAGCGGTTGCCACATGGGAGCACCGAGGAAGTCGTCAATCAGGCCACCTTTCTCGTTCACACATGCCAATATGATCCACATCACACAGAAGCCGAATACCGACCGGGACAGAGGTTCGAAGAAGGCATCCACGACGTACGAGAACTCCTGTGCATCCGTAGTGTAGATTTCGTAGTTGCCGTAAACAATCAATCCTAGCAGGGTGAAACAAGCTGCCCAACCAGCGGTCCAGTACCGCTTCGATAGGTTCACTCCGGTGTCCTTGGTCTTGTGAAGAATATATCCGAAGGCAAGTCCCCAGAGCCAAACAGCCATTCGTGCGTGCGTCGGATAGTACGTTAGTATGTACTTGCGAGGATCAAAGTATGGCAGGAAAAAGCTCAATCGTAATTCATTGACAAGAAACGATGCTAGCACGCATCCCATGGAAAGCACAGCCAAACCAGCGATAACGATAAGAACTCGTTTTCCATATCGCCACAAGGGATAGATAAGAGCCGGTGCGATAATGTACAGCTGCATATCGACGGAGAGGTACCATGACCACGATAAGCACTGCAGATTAAAAAAAATTAAAAGCTCTCATAATGATACAATCAAATTGGAAGGATGTCAAATCAACTCACCATATTTCCCGGATCAACATAGTTCTGAATGTACAAAAGCGCTGCCCACCAATTCTTCTCACAAGCTTGCTTTAAATCGCCTAACATTGGCTTCCACAGTACACCTTCGCCCATGTAGCTGGCAAAGGACACCACAAACAGAATCAATGCTGCAAACGGACCCGTAATTCGAATGTATCGATGCAGATACAACTTCAACGGGTTAATTTTGCCGTTTTTGTCCAGTTCCCGCAGCATACTCAGCGCCACCAACATTCCACTCAGCACCAAGAACGTATCGACTGCCAGCGTACCGCTGAAATACAGTAGCGAAGGCGTGAAACCTCTGAGGTATCCCAATTGTGTCGGGGCATTTTCCCACTGAACAAGATTCAGTGTTTCGTGAGTGTGAAGCACTATGATCCAGATCATGGACAGAGCCCGGATGCCATGAGCACACTCAATCATGTTTGATTTCTTATCTGCGCTCTTGGATCTTGGAACTATATGAAGAATGCTCCTGATGTTCGACAGCAAGGAGAACGAGCTGTATAAAGGCTTAACGTCACGCTTTAGTGCAAGCTGTACTACTTCGTACAAGGTACTGCACAGCAGCAAACCCGCTATTATGGCGCTGAATACACTAAAATGAGTAAAACAAACGTTAGCCAACGAAATTCTTGAACGTTATTGCAACTCACATGGCGGTTATCATCGCTCCATCATACTTGAACTCTTCATCTCGGATGCACAGCATCTCCTGCTCTATAAGCGGTACTAGCATAACACCTTGAGTGTTCAAGTAATCACTGTACAGCGCTTGGGCAGCATCCGGATCGCAGAAATGTGGCACACACAATCCGGACACGAGTACTTCCATGTCACTCGGAAACGCTCCAAAGAATGTGCAGTGTTGTCCTCGGATGTGTTCCCAGGAAAATCCCCTGCACTGGTCGACATTTCCCACCGCGTATCCATTCTGATGGTACAATCCTGACGGAATCTTACCCCACGAGTCAAACCCTACGGAAATAATTATCACATTATAAACACTAATTCACCAACATCCACTGGGATTCCTCTCACTCACATTCCAATCCGTGCCGTTCACGATTCAGATAGGCTTTGGATAGCTGCCGCATCGCAATCGTACATTGCGGATCGGGTAGCTCCTGTGCAAGCTGATCGTCGATCGCCGCTAGGTAGTCCAAAAAATGGCGGTTCAACAGCAGGACCTCTTCGATGCTGAATTCCACATTTCGTAGCTGCTCCGTGCGGTTGCGGTCGTTCTGCTGATGATGATAATCCAACTTACCACCATTCGGCAATGTGCTAGTGCTGAGGATGGACAACGGTAAAAGCCAAGCTGGCCACATTTCGATTTCCTTTTCGCGGAATAAAACGTGGCTATCTCGGCTCCGGTCGACGGTCGTGGTTAAACTAATGACTCGTCGTTCACTGTTGCTCGTTTATAGGTAATTCGATACGACCCATTCTCGAATTGATTGATAACATATCTCTTCCGTCTTAAGCAACAACGTAATTTGTGCACACTTTCGGAAGAAAGCAGAAGATGAGGGTCACTCGGGAGCTTAGAACCAACACTCTTGCTGTACCGATTTGCAATATTCCGACCACGAATCTCACGAGGTACTTAATGAAGACAGCTGAAAATGTAACTCATAATTTCCTGCAGATAATCAAACAATAAGTTCAAGTTTCAGGTCTGTAAAACGATTAATTAGCTAAATAATTGCAAAATGACCGTTTTCAGATTCCAGTCCAAGTGTCATTTTACTCTTAACTATGGTTCTATGAATGATGAATCTATCGTTTAAACAATGGAAGATTACGTCAAGTAGTATTATGGTTCAAGTTCCACTTAACCAAGCAGTCTCTGTAGTATTTCTTATCAATGAAATAACCCATTAATTAAAAATAGATAACAATTTTTAAGGTGCAGACTGCGTGACTAAATCCGGTCAAAAGTCGAAAAACAATCGATGAAGGGATCCCCATTATATTATCTTAAACTGGGATTTTTCGGTATCATTGATTCACTCTAATATAATTACTTTTTATAACTGTTGTATTTAGGCTCCGTCAACGTATACGGCTCAACTACGAATGAACGTCTCTTCTATTCTTAATCTCTACAGAGCTTCGAGTGAAGGGTAAGTATTGGTAAGTAAATGTATAAGAAGGTTTAGACCTTGTTTTTAGAACAATCGATGATTGGTATATATGGTATGTATGGTATATATGGATATATCAATTCTTACAGAAATGAATAATTCAATATCAAATCAGATAGCACATTGTATAGGTAATCTTTTTTTGTTGACAAATTACATAATTTAACACTAACTATGCTCAGAACGTCAAATTCTCTTGATCTTGACTGATTCGCCTCAACTTCGACCGAGTCACTTGAGACTAGATGAGACTCACCCTATGTGGCTCAACCAAGACTCCCGGATATCTAGCTCAGTAGCATGAGACCCCTGAACTGTGTCACAGGGCCGGCATGCTACTTGGTAATTTGGAGGGGTACGCGGAACAAACTGTGCAGAAACTGTGGGATTTCTTACGTGATTGTGAAATTAATTGGAAGCTAAAGTGTGGGTGGAAAAAGTCTAAAAGTTTATTAAAATGGAACTATTGTGCGGATGGTTTTATTGGGCTATTATGGGGTGTGTTCTGTGGGTTTCTGCTTCCTTGGTACGTACCGGTGGTGTTTGCTGGACGATGGCGGTGATTATGTTGGGCAGCTGTTGTTTGACCGCGATGGCGATCCGTGGCTTATTCACTCCGTTGACAATGGCGGATCGGTGTCTTAAGCTGGTCTGGAAGATGGCGCCTGGTGACTGGAGCTGTGGTCACTACAATGGCGGGTTTGATGCTTGGGTTTGCGCGTTGCGATGGCGGTTCGCAACCAGGGAATAAAGCAATTCCTGTGCAGCTACTGAAGTAGCCTTTTCGATGTCAACGGCGTCTCCCTTCGTTGGCGAACATCAGCTGACCGTGACAAGGCCACCTTGGTCGAGCCGAGAAGGGTCTTCCTCCTTAATAGTTAGGACTACCAAGTCCGAGGATGCTCTCCTTTCTAGCAATTATTAAGCCGGATAGCTGAAGGTCCTTGACATTTAGACCAAGACAGCCGAGACTGACTTGGTCGAAAAGTGCCGATCGTGAGGATCTCCGTGGAATACCAAACAAAAGGTCCTAAAGGACAAATGGTTGTTTTAAACCAAGCCAAAATCATTTTTGGTCAAATTCAGTTACTTGAATGAACACCAGGAACATAAAAAGGTCGTTCTCTGCACTTTGGTTCACTTTTTCATTCCACTCACGTCTTCTAGGCACAAACGCCGGTTTACTTCTGGGCAATGGTTGACCATCCCAGCTATCAAAAGCCCTCCTTTTCCCATCAAGTTTTCAATTCGTTCCTTATTATTTCCTCCATTTTCCTTCCTTGTAGCTTATCACCACCCATCCATATCAGCTCCTTCGCCTATTGAGTTTTTCTACCACAGTTGATTATAACACCCTTTCGATCCTGTCACATCCAATCAAGCTTATAAACAAATATCATTTTCAAACTACCTACTAAGACAAATTTATACATTTTTCAATAACAGCAATTTTACCTACAATCCTACTAATCCTACTAACCCAACACTGACACTAAACAAACACTACAGTTTCCTAAAACAACATGCACAAATTAAAACCTAGGACATTGTAACTAAACGGTTACACACTATAGGACCTCCTCTCGACAATGTATCTCTTTCTAGATTGATCATCAGTTTCAGACCGTTTAGCGACATCTTCAATTGGTCTCGTCTCAATCACCGATTTCTCAACGGCCTCTATTCCTGGGTCGGCAACGTCAACGGAAACGGCATTTTCGTTCGGAAATCCCAAGAACTCTCCTTCCGCGTCCATAGAAGCTCGTCTAGTATTGTGTGTACTAGCGACAATGACCTTAGCATTTCGATTCGGTTGTTCCACCATCTTTAGCTGATGTTTGTGAGCCGTCAGTACATGTGTACCCAAAGCAATCTGGAAAATATTTGTGGAAATTCTTTTAACAAACTTGGTTACTAACCATTTAGGTACTTCTTTTTTATTGAAATGTTTATATAACAGCTTATCCCCTGCCTTTAACTTGTCAAGAATATTTGGAAGACTGTATTCCAGGTATTCAAAATTGCAGTTCTTTTGAGGAGTTTTCTCCATAAATGTTTTATATGTTTTCTTTGGATTTAATAAATCCATAAGCATTTTAGGTTTAAAACCGAGCACTTTTTCAGAAGGGAATATTCCTTCCTGGGGGCGACCCTGGTGTAGTGGTTAGCATTCATACCACTCACGCCAAAGTCACGAGTTCAAATCTCACCCCCGGACGAGTCACGAATGACCCAAAAGCGTTAAAGTGACTATAATAAAAAAAAAAGTCAAGACAACTATTTCTGTAGTTTATGAGGAAAAGGTTTCACTTATCTTCTAAGTCTAATGATTTAATTCGATCATCTAATAAAAACTTCTTAATCACTTCCTTAACTACTCGCACTTTTGAGTACATTAACTCCTTGGTGTTTTAGAAAATCCATAAATTCTTGGGAATTAAACGGCGGTCCTCCGTCCGTAACTACAATATCTGGAAGGCCAAACCTTGCAAAAAACGATACAAATTTTTTATTGATTAATTTTGCTGTTATTTCATAACGCATCCATTTGACTTCTAACCATTTTGAAAAGCTATCTACGATGAGAATGAAGGTTTTACCTTCAAAGTAAAAGAAATCTGCGTGTATACGACTAAAAGGTCGTGTAGTCGGAATCCAAGACCCCAACAACTTTGATTTAGGTACAACTTCCATTTTTGCACAAGATTCACAACGTTTAACATATATTTCTATGTCTGCCAGCTTTTTCATTTTTACCATGGTTAGCATGCAAAAGTTTCAAAATACCTTTTTTTAATATTTGTGGGATAACTACCTGTTCCATCCAAGTAATCACGATGTTCCGTTCAAGTAATCGCAGCAAGCTACAGCTGCGACCGAGATGGAAAAATTAGGCATTCGAAGTGTAGATGTCAACCTGAATAAACGTATAGTTAGAAGCACTCAAACTTAGGATGGCGGTGACAAACGAAGAACTCTAAGCAGCGATTTTGCAGCTTCTCCAGCGGTTGGCCGTTCCACAAGCAACGAACCCAGAGCATGTTTTGGAATCCCTGTCGACGAACATCAGCGAGTTCTGCTTCGATCCGGAGAACGGCACCACATTCGAAAAATGGTTTGCCCGTTACTCGGATTTGTTTGAAAGCGACGCACGAAGTCTGGACGACGCAGCAAAAGTTAGGCTTCTGCTCCGGAAGTTGGACACGTCCTCTCACAGTCGCTACGTCAACTATATCCTTCCGAAACTACCAAAGGACGTCACGTATGCCGATACCGTCAAGACGCTCACAAAGATCTTCGGCAGACAGACCTCCGTATTCCACAAACACTACCAGTGCATGCAGCTACTCAAGTCCGAGGCCGACGACATAATCACCTATGGCGGAAAAGTCAACAGGGCATGTGAAGAGTTCGAGTTCCAGAATTTGAAGATTGATCACTTCAAGTGCTTGATTTTCGTCTGTGGTCTCAAAGCACCACGCTACGCGGACATTCGAGCAAGGCTTCTATCCCGGATTGAAGGTGAAACGGCTGATGCTCCGGTGACAATTCAAACTCTGATCGACGAGTTCCAGCGGCTCGTCAACATCAAGTCGGACACTACGATGATCGAACATCCATCAAGTTCGAAGAATTCGGTCCATAGCATTTCGGAGAAGAAACCCGGAAACCAGCATCGTCCACTGAAAACGGAAAGCAAGTCCACTCCTCGTACTCCATGCTGGCAGTGTGGTCAGATGCACTACGTCTGTGACTGTCCATTTTCTGATCATCTCTGCAAGGTATGTAACCACATCGGTCATAAAGAAGGCTACTGTAGCTGCATCAAGAAGTCTTCAAGCAACTCAACCTCGAGAGAAGATGCTGTTCCAGAAGAAGGTCGGTCCCAGATCTCAAGCCAAGGGAATTTTCGTGAAGCACATCGCAAACAGCAACCGGAAACGCAAGTATGTGACCATCAACATCAACGGTGTCATGACTTCGCTACAACTGGATTCTGCAAGTGATATCACGGTGATTTCCAAGAAAACTTGGCAGCAACTGAGGCGACCAAAGCTAACTCCATCATCGATCGAAGCCTCCAACGCATCTGGTGGACCACTCGCTCTCATCGGAGAGTTCCATTGTGAAGCAGTCCTCAATGACATGGTCAAGCGTGGTCAGTGTTTCGTAACGTCATC